AAAAAAAAAAAAAATGGAACCGCTATCAAAATAGAAACATATCAAATCGAAACATAGATAGAGAACTGAGATTATTTTATACCGATAAAATAAAACCGAACTGCACTGAAATGCACGGTTTGACTCGATTTTCAGTCGTGCCTCGATCAATTTTTCTAAACTTTTGTAATTTTATACAGTTTCGTGCAATAACCCCCACCGAACTGGGAAAAAAATTGAACTAGTTAAAAAATAGTAACGGAAAATTTTATACACTAAAAATAATAACAAATCGAACCAAATTGTAAGGTTCGACTTGGATTTTCAGTTTCGATTTGATTTTAGTTGTTCGAGCTCGATTTTTGAGGTTCGAGTGCGACTCGAAATCAAAATACTCGAGCTCAGCTCGAGTTTGCTCGAAAATTTTATAGTAGAAAGGTAAAATTATATAATGGAAAGGTATTATAATAATTTAACGTGTCTCGAGTTGCTCGACGGGCCGTTCGACAATGTAAAATAGGGGCTCGACCTCGACTCGAGTTCGGTCACACTCGACTCGTGATCGAGCGCTCGATTCGTTTGCAGTACCGAATCAATGACCGACTACCAATCTTATCAATATTACTTAGTGGGTAAGATATTATTATATCTTAAATATATGTTGTGCAACCAAACACGGTCATCATCAGTCAAAATTCTTTGCATCACAGCTGTGTTCTCTCTGGAAATCTCTCCTTTTCAATGGAAACCATGACTTGTTTATTTATGTTTTACTATAAAAAGCTCATTGGGATTTGTATTTTATGACATTGAGAAGAGATAGATCACGTACACAAGTGGTTTTGTGTTTCTTTATAAAAAAAAAATAATAAAAAAAAAAGTTTGGCCTAATCCACAAGTCTTTTGGAGCTTTCCTATAATGAGTCATGGGTGTATTATAAAACGATGACCAAACCATGCGGGGTCCAAAAAAAAATTGTCATACATAATTAAAATGGATGATTGGATACAAGTTATTTAATAATTTTAATTGAATTTTTTGGTTCAATATTAGAGATGATTCTAAAAAAAGTTGATTGGATTAAATGGGAGTGATATTTTGAATTTGTGTTAAAATAATATCTACATATAAGGATTAATACTTTCTCCTATTTTTATTATTTGTCGTTTTGAGAAGCAACACGTTAATTAAGATTTTTTTCATGCCAAATATTATCCCTATTTAATGGATGTTGTAGGAAACAATGGAGATGGTATATGGAGATACACTGTGTATTAGATAGAGGGTTAAAATGGAAAAATATGAACAAAATAGCCAAAACGACATTTATTTAATTAATGATCAGTTAAGCCAGAGTGACAAATCATAAAAATAAAAGAGATTATTAATTTGATGTAAAAATAAGAGAAAACAATTAAAAGTAATGAATAAATAAAATAACGTGAGTGGATGAACTGCGAATTAAAGTTGATATGATGCGTAGAAGACACTTGAAGACACCAGTGGAAAAGGTAGAAATATAAAAAGGCAAATAAAAATTAAAAGGGATGAGCAACACAAGAAAACTTGGAATGAGAGAATAAAAAATAATTTAAAATATTTAAATTTAATTGAGGATATGTGTTTTGATCGAGCACGATGACGACGTGTGATACATATAATCGACTCCACTTAGTGAGATTTTTAATGTTGATTGATTGATTGATTGACTGATTGATGATGTATAGAAATGGTTGATTGGTGTTATTTAATTATACTAATAATACTGAAAAGAGATGAACTGAGTTAAATTTTGAATTAACAAAAAATATTTGGTCAGTGACAAGATAGATATCATATAAACAATTAGGCATGAGTGTTTGCAATCACAATAAGTGAACATTAGGTATTAGAGATAAGAAAATAGAATTATTTTGTGGGTTCTTTAGCATTTATTATGGTATTTGAAGTGTCCAATTCAGATGAAAACAAAAAAAAATTACAATAATATCTTGAAGTACTTCAGACTACAACTAATTGGATATATATTTAAAAGGGTAAAATACTTTTTTCTCATCCGAATTATCACGGTTTTGGCGCATCACCATATAAACTATTTTTTTTACAAACCACTATATGAACTATACGGGTTTGTCAATATGCCCCTTAAACCGGATATAAAAGTGGTTTAGTGGGCACATTGACAAAGCCGTGATAGTTCATATGGTGGTTTGTAAAAGTATTTAGGGGACACATATGTTGACCAAACAGCTTTTTTAGTCAAAACTACTTTTATATCTGGTTTAGGGGGCACATTGACAAACCCGTATAGTTCATATGGTGGTTTGTAAAAAAAAAAATAGTTAATATGGTGATGCGCCAAAATCGTGATAGTTTGGATGGGAAAAAAAATATTTTACCCTATTTAAAATTATGGTGTATTTCATGGATATTTCAAGTTTGAAATTTATTGGGTGTATTCAATTAGAATTCCAGAGGAATTTTTATGACTTTAGAAATTGTGGTATATTCAATTTTAGATTTGTCAAGTCTTTTTTAAAACTTTTTTAAGAAATCTTACAAAAATAAGAGATATTTAACTAATTTAACGCTAGGATTTGTTAAAACTTTTTAAGATTTGTGGGATTTCTAAACAAAAAATTTTATACAATATTTTACTTGAAATCCCACCTCCACACTCAAGATTTCAAAGAATTCCTTCAAAATCTCTTTTAAAAAGTTTCAAATCTTAAAAATTCTTAAAATATCACTTAAAATTTCAATTGAATACACATTTCGAATTTCAAATTTTGGAAAAATTTTGTAAAATCCTTACTCTAGAGGTGAAATTTCGTATAAGATTTTTTCTTTAGAAATCACACTAAATCTCAAAAAGTTTTAACAAATTTTTAGTGTCAAATAAGATAAATACTCCAGTTTTAATATCCCAATTGAATATCCAAAACTTTTAAAAATGTTAACAAATTTAAATTGAATATAACGAATTTCAAAAGTCTTTAGAAATCCAAATTAATATACACACCCGCCCAGGATTTATCTTTTTGAGTTAGTGAGCTGAACCAGAAACATTTCAATTTGATTTCATGTTATTTTATTTTTCCTCTACTATCCCACCAATATAATTGAAAAATAAATTCAAACATTATTATATATTTTCAATAGAAAATATTGTTCATCCAGTGGCATTTTGATACCACGTTCATTTTAATAATCACATCTATATATATATAAAGAGGGAGTTGATGGAATTGATGTTACTAATGATAGCAATAAATGCTTCTTTTGGAAATGGTATCAACAATATTTTTGGAAATAAATATATAATTAGTATGTTTGCCTTTTAGATTTAATAAATCATTCATGATAATTAGTTAACAATTTAATATGTAATAAGTATTTTCTATGACTTGATTTTTAGAAATAAATTTATAATTAGTATGTCAGCCCTTTTGATTTACTAAATTATTCATGATAATTAGTTCTCAATTTAATATATAATAAGTATTTTCTGACTTAAAGGACGATATTAATTAATTACTGACATATTTAGTAATTGAATTAAATGACATAATACATATTAGTGCCTATGCATAATATAAATATCATGAAAATTAGTGCCTACGCATAAAATAATTATTATGAAGCTTATGATTCAACCTGATTCAAATTTCACGAAGTGCCTAAGCATAATATAATTATTACGCTGTGCACTATTATTCAGCCGGATTCATTTTTCAATTAGTGCCGCCTATGCGTAATATAATTTCTATATTTGAAGTTTTTAAAAGCTATTAAATTGAGAATTTTAAGTAAACATTCTATATAAAAATAATCATAAATTTTAGTTTCAATTTTTCTAAAAATAAAAAATCAATATAATTATGAGAATCATTCAGTATGAAAATGTAAAAAATAAAATTTAATATGACTTTTCACCATATATTTAATAATATATATATATGTACCATCTATATCTATATAATGGACCAATCCTTATTGCTATAATTGACATAATTTTAGGCGAGAAATTTTTTCGTCTATATTTGAAATTTAATTAAAATTTATTTATTAGCAAATCTTATGCATGAAAAACATGTTATTTGTTATACACTCAGTGACTACTACTCAGTAACTATAAATTATATTAAATTTAAATTTTGACCGTAGTTTTATTAGATATATTTTCAATGAGATATTATATTAATTTAATAGTAATTTATTGACACAATTCAAAAAATTATTATAGAAATTGATTTGATTAAATATATTATCATCTATGGTTGTAGAAACTAATTTAGTTAATTATATTTACTATTCAGAAGCACTTAAAATATATAATAAAATCATCAAAATAACTATGTTTAAATCACACTAACTTAATAAATAATTTAAAATATTAATAAAGGTTTATAAAATATAGTCAATTTAGTTATAAAAAGGTAGAAATGCTCCCCTACCACGGTGGGCACATGTTAAAATGCCCACCGTGTAGGTGGCATGCACTCATTGGTGATGTTAATATGCTTAAAAAATACATCACCAATGAGTGCATGCCACCTACGCGGTGGGCATATTAACATGTGCCCACCGTGGGTAGGTGAACATTTCTCTATAAAAAGGTACATCCCTATTCAATACATTATATGCAGTGATACTATTAAAAATTTAAATAATATACTAATACAGATAAAATTTGATTGTGGGGTGCAACTTAGAATTCTAAATTTCACATTTTAAATATCTATGCACAGTAAAAAAAAGCTATTTAATTTTTTAAAAATTAAGTTTTCTTTTATACTATTTTAAAAATATCTATATCTATATCTATATCGTTATCTATATCTATATAATGGATCAATCTTTATTATTATAATTGACATAGTTTTAGGCGAAAAAATATTTTCATTTATATTTAGCATATACTTAGCCTTTATCTATTAGCAAATTTTATACGTGAACATTAATTATTTTTTGTTTACTCATTGACTATTATTCATTAGTTATCAATTGAGTTAAATATAATATTGATTGATGACATATATTTTCAATATGATCTAATATTAATTTCGTAGTAATTTTTAACACAATTAAAAACACTATTCAAATTTTCAAATATTAATTTGATTAACTATATTATTATCTCATGGATGTAGATTTTAACTATATTAAGTATAATAACCTATCAGAAGTACTTAAAATATCTAACAAATAATCAGAATAATTGTGTTTGAATCATATTAACTTAATGAATAATTTATAGTAATAACAAAATTTGCTAAAGTATAGTCAACATAACCATTAAAAAGTTTATGTTCATTGAATATATTATTTTATTAGATATACTATTGAAAATAATATTTAATATATTAATAAAATTATTATTTGATGGTCGAGTGAAATTAAGAATTATAAACATTGAAAATATATGCATACATAAAAAAAAGATTAAGTTGTAAAAATCATGTTCTTATTATATACTATTTAATAAAGATGTTATCATCCGACTCGGCAAGACGCTGTTAAGAGGTTTTAAGCATCCTATTAAATGCGATTAAACTGTTAAACCGACATGAATCAGAACCGCACCGATCAACACCAAAGAACCGGTCTGAACCACCAAAGACCGAAGTGATCAACGATTACCGAGGTCAACATCCACCGAGGACAACATGAACCGAGGTCGTCACCTCCTTAAGCAGGTGACAAGGCATCTACGAGAGACCCTCCTGCTCCACAAGATCTGTCATCATTTACGTGGGGCCCCCTGCCTCAAACCGCCCATAAAAAGCCACTTTATTCAAAAAGTAGTACACGGATCCCAATGTATCAATCCGAAACTACTATAAATAGCGGACCTATGACAACTGTAAGGGGATCGATCTCACTTTCTCAAAATACTCCGAACTGTAAACACTTTACCAAGTAACACGTAAAAGCCCATCACGGCTCTTCACCTCGGTTCACCTCGGACCGGGGCCATTGTTGATTTACTCTTACATGCTTTACGTTCAAATCATTCAAAATTACCCACTTAATCATATATTATATCGTTGTTAAGAATCACATAACAACAAAAGAAAAATGAGTAAATAGGATAATATATATAGTCAAATGTCATAATTAAAAATTATAGCATTTGATAATAATTGAAATATATAATTTATCTAAACATTTAAATTAGATATTAATACACTCATTATATATGTTGAATATATTTAGTAAATATATAAATATATACAAAAAAATTTAAAATAAAAATAAATAGTTTACTATGAAAAAATGTGTTGCATAAGCGATTAAGTTACTACAATTTAAATTTAATTATCAAACATTTATTATTTCATGCATCTAAAATTAGAATAACGTAAAATAAATTTTACAGTTAAAACATTAGTTAGCTATTGAGCATATGCAAAATATGATTTGTTCAAAAAGTTATAAAATTAAGTTAATCAGTAATTTTACAAGTATTTGTAAGCCATTAATTGTATACAAACATCATATTTAATATCTAGATATCGATACTATTTTATAAAATTATAAATAGTAAGATTTATATATTAAATAGTCAAAACCTGTAAAATAAATTATAAAAGATATCCAAACAAAATTTATATTTATTACTGACTTGATATATTGAGTCTGGTACAATTATCATGTTGTATTAAATAAATTAACAATATTTTAATAATAAAATATTAATCTATAGTATACCCCGTGCATCGCACGGGTATCAACACTAGTATATATAATATATATCATAGTAATTCATTATCTCAAATTTATCTACTTCTTAAAAAATAATTATTTCCATTTTCCATCTTTTTTTAGGCGACACAAAAATTTTCAAAAAACGAAAAATCTATTTATTCTTGAATAAATTATTATTTGGCATGGTTTACACTTCTCCACAATCCAAATAAATAATTGGAAGACAATATTCTCTCTCATTTTTTCTTTATAAATTTTATATGTTATACATATTTCACAATTTACACTGTACATGCTAATAAGGGAAAATGAATAGAAAACAAGATTAGACTGTATGTAATAACGTTAGAACAAAACTACAAGGTGAAGTTCTAAGGTGGCAAGAAACACATTTTTTTTTTTTTTATTATTTTTGCCACACTTGTTCAAGTGGAACGAAATGGCCGGGTCCAGGTCGTTTTGCCATCCCTAAGTGGAAGTATTTCAGTCTTAACTAAAAACAAAATTAAAACTGAGATAAATAAGTCAATATGATTCTTTTTTCTGAGGTTAATTACATAATATTCCAGTTTTTCACCTTTCTTGTTCCCAGCAATTTGAAGGTCTCCATTAATAGTAAGATTGAAATAGCCATTATGCTACGAGCCGATTAGACCACTCCAGATGGAAGGCGCAAGACAAGCTGACCTCCAAAAACACTGCAACCGAAAAAATGAATAAATAAATAAATAACAACAATTATAAATAAATCGAACAATCGGTTGACGAGGACTGAACAAAATGGGACCTTTTAACATAGTAGTAGCAAAAATCTGCTAGGATGAAAGTCTGAACAATTTCTGATATAAGAACCATCGAGGGCCAAAGTCCATAACCTAAAGCCACGAGTAGATGGCCACGACTGTCCAAAACCTGTCGAATATGATTGAAAATAAGTGGTGCTTAATTCCTCCCGGAACAAAGAAGTTTCTAAATTCTATTCGTAATGAAAAGGTTTTGGCCTTTCTTTTTTCTTTTTTACCCATTTTAGAAAAACTCTTTGTCGGGGGCAATTGTCGAATGGTTACAAATCTTGAGCACCCTTGTAATGTCTTAAAGAGGGTGCATTACCGTGCGTTCGATTTTGACCCTTCTTTTTGGTTTCGAAAAAGAGAAAAAAAAAACAAGGGTTGTGAATAGATAAAAGGAAGGGCTGCTTGGAAGACCTTTTCATCCAACATTGGCAAAATATAGAAACAAAATTAGGATATGTTCGGTAAACCTACCGGATAAGCTAGCTTATAGCTGATAAGTTAGCTGATAGCTTTTAAGTGAATTTTTCGAGTTTATAGCTAATAGCTTATTAAAGATGAAAAAACTAGCTTATATATGATAAAAACCAAACATTAGCTGATACGCTAGTTGAAATAAAAAAATTTCAATGGGCTTATTTGAAAAGCTACCCAATGAAGCTTATGAGAAAGCTCGAACATTTTTTAATACGAAAAATTTATAATCTAAACAAAATAAGCTATAAGCTAGCTTATGGTGCTTAACAAACACACTCCTAATAAAATTTATGTATAGCTAAGTTCATCAATCTAACCTGAAGAACCCAATGAGCGCAACTCAAGAACCTTGCGACTCCTAACGCAAATACATAATGAGCGGTGAAAGGTTCCACAATCTGTCAATGAAAGGTTGTCAAAGAAAATAGCAGAAAAAACTGTCTACACTTCACAAAGTAAATGTAATTTATGTTCTGTTCAATATGTGATTAATGTTGCCCGATTTTTTCTTTCTTTCTTTCTTTCTTTCTTTTTTTTTGTACCTTAGTGTTCTGCATCACGCGTAATTGTGGTAACACTGAAACCGCTTCTAAGTAAACACAGAAAGCCCAAGCAATCCTGTTCACAATGTTATGTGAAGTGGATGGGTGGATCAATAGAGCTAAAACAGCACAAGGAAGCAGCTGCACAATAAAACTCGGTTATCTCATAAAGCCAAAGCATTTGACGAGCTTTAAAAGAGGAAAAAATGGAGGCATGTGAACAAGTTTTAATCACAGAATGCATTACAAAATTTACTTAGAAAGATATACTAATTGGGACCAAAAGTCGAAGAGGTTATGGTTATGTTCGCCAAAACTAGTTGATAAGCTAGCTGATAGCTTATAAAAGTGATTTTCGAGCTTATATTTTGTAGCATATGACTGAAAAACTAGCTTATATGATAAAAGCGTTTGATAAAATTAGCTAATAAATAAAATTTCAACGAGCTTATTTGAAAAGCTGCCCAAAGAAGCTCGAGCTTTTTAAAAAAACTCGTCCTACCAAACGAAGCTTATTTAAATATAGGAAGCTTATAAGCTAACTAAATAAGCTTATTTGGTTACCAAATATAGCCTATATACATATATGCGAGTCAAGGGGTATAAACCCCGCATTCAAGTACAACTTTGTGCAAGAATTTACAACAATGGCTAACTCTACCAAAGGAATATTAATCTTGGCTTCTTCTACAGAGCAAGAAACATATATAGAGAACTAATGTCCTCACGGGTGTGAAAATTTGGAGTCTTACATCACTGTTAATTGACATTATCCATAATACTAAGAAATAAGAGTCTGCATCTCATCTCTACACTGTTTTTTTCATCAATCTAATGAGAAAAGATGAAATCCAATCAGAAGCAAGAGACATAACACGTCAAACATTTCTGCAAGATCACTTACCACATAATATAGTGCAAAATTGTCCTTATCACTCATGTAGCTCGAGTTTAATTTAAAACGAATCGTATAAATGACCCACAAGGTAGTAGCCAAAGTCGCCAAGTCAAGCAGAGTATGTATGTCATACTCCATTACGAAACTGCAATATAATCTAACAGCCAGAAATATAGCTGTTAGCTCCTGGGATTTTAGTGAAAGACCTGTCATGAGATAAATCAAAGAAGTGGAGGTAATCACTAATCAGCATCGAGCATTTATCAAATAAAAATTGAAATAATATGGTTTATCACCACACTGAGTGATGTATACACAAAGCTAGAATGGGTGAAATATCAAGACTTCAAGTAGACATGCAAAAACTCGAATATCCAATAAACAGTTCCAAGAGAAAAGAGTAGACAAATTTGGCGAGCAAAATTCATACACGAGAAAAAAAGCTTGCTGTGAATTCCAGAATCCAAATGATATTCCCAAAAGCACATGCAAGGTTCATGAGACTTGCAACCAGTCTCATTAAAAGATACACTTATAATTGAGACTAGAGAACATTTAATTCACTGTGATAGACGCGAAATAACGAAAATGAGAGCGGCATCATTCAGAGACTAAAGAACATTTAATTCTCATTTTAAATAACGAAAAATTATGCAGCTTTCAAAAAGATCCACTGTGATAGACCAAAAGAAACATACGAAAACAGTGAAGAAATGAATGATGTTTGCGACACTACGATTAAAAACAATGCTGTTATAGCAAAATAGAGCAAACTTGATTTCCCCTATAAACAATCACACAAGTTAAAAAAGGTATTGTAAACTCCAAGCATAAGTTGATCTTTTCTTTCTTTCATCCTTTACTTAAATGAAGTAAATCGTTCAACAAACTACCTCCAATGTGAAGAAAAGCACATACAAATCTCTTATTTTAGTTTCGTTTAGTCGTATTTCCATCTAATAGGCAGCAAACTAAGCTCACAATCTAAGCATTGAAACAAGAAAAATTAGGAATTCAGGATCACTTATCGTGGCCCCAAATCCCAATAATAAGAGGAATTTATCACCCAAGTATCCCAATTGCCAAAAAGTTCCAATCTTTGTCACCAATCAATCAATTGCAAACAAATTACAAGTCCAATTATCGTTCATACAATTATCGCTCACCCATAAAAATTCAATCTTTCAATTCAGAATGACGCCATTGCTACGTAATTACAGAGCTTCGAATCAATTCTCAAAACCCACCAAATTAAAAGAATAAAATAAAATAAAATAAAATCAATCAACACCGAAAAGGAACGACACCGTACCTGCGCAGGTCCTCTCCTTCATCAATTTGTAGATGAGAACAGAAATTCCGATCGAGTGCACGGCTTCCGCCGCCACAAAGAGATTGTCGTGATCGTGGACGATGGCGCGTAGGATGACAAGCGCCGCCATGCCGCTGACGACGGCTAGAAACGCCTTCACCTTCGGCGGCTGCCGCCGGACCCATGACGACGCGGCTTGGATCGGCCTCTTTGGTGGCTTCATCTTTGTGTACGTATATGGGCTGTAGGCTGTATGTATGTATGTGTGAGCGGATTTGTATGTTATTTTCCGATTTTTCTCTACGGGGGCTTTTTGCCTATCGAGTCTCGACAAGGTAGGGGTGTTGGGGTAAATAAGGTATTTCTGAGGGGCCTTTCTTAATTTGTTGAAGACGAAATAGAAATTATTAGATCTAATAAATATCTAACTAATAGGTAATAACTAATAAACAATATCTTTTTCACCCTACTACAAAGATACATTAAGTTTTTTCAAACCGTCCATTAACAAATTACCTTTTTCATCTCGGGAAGTGACTGCATAACTGTCGCATATCAATTGTATAACTGCTCGCATATTCATCGCGCAATACCTTCGCACTTTAACTTTTCCACCCCAGAAAGTGCGACGATATGCGAATGTCTTCGCACTTTTGACTTTCGCACAATGTCATCACGCAACTGCCGCATATTCATGGCACACTACTTTTTGCACTTTCTGGGTTGAAAAAGTTAAACTTATCTAAGGACAATGTGAAAAACTTAATACATTTCCATAGTGGGGTGAAAAATAGTATTTTTTTTTTACAAAATATGAGGCTAAAAGCCTAGGCTAGAATTTGTCGAAGGTGAGACACCCCATACTAAAAAGAGTATTTTCACTAAATAATATGTTAACTGCCCTTATGATCTTGCTTCCCTTCCTAATAATTATGGTTAGTATATAACCATTAGATCATTATACCTTTTTGTGAATATATATTTATATTAAAAATATCATACTTTAAAAATAATATAATTAGAAGTATGACATTTGATAGTATAAATATGCATCTTTCTTTACAGAGTGTGTGGGTTGATCACATAAGAATTTGTGATTTTGTTGAGGCCTAAAGTAACTTTATTTGTCAATATAATTGCATGAACTAAAACGTTATAATTTGTATTTTACATACTTAAAAACAATGAAATATATTTAGTAAGATTAACTTAATGAGGAAATTATTCCATATATATTAGATTTAGGAGAAAGTTTAATCCAGTTAATTTAAACGTTAAAAACTTGATAATTGAATTTCAGAAGTGTATAAAATTTACACTAATTTAATTGATAATCTATATTTTAATCAACCAAAATAATACTACTAAAATTGCTTACTTTTAAAATTATATAGTACATGCATATATTTAGGCATGCTAGTCAGATATAATTTAATGGCAGAACCTCAATGCTGTCTCTTTTGTGAAACCAATGTTTTCTGTTGGTATATCCTTTAACAGTTTTCTGTAAGTCTGTCAAAGTTTTTTACTATTAAATTGGATGAAACAGCAAATACTTAGGTGTGCCTAGCAAGGTGTGCCAAAGCTTTTTAAAATGAACATATTACTTTATAAAATGAACATGTGTAAACATATTTACATGTTCATTTTAAACTGCCTTGGCACACCTTGCTAGGTGTGCCAAAGCACACGGTAGTAGCACTGGGATCAAACACAGACACATACATACCCACACGGGTGCGTATTAAACCAAGGATAAAAAGCAGACTATCGAGTTTTTTATTAAACCAAGGATAAAAAGCGTGACTATCGAGTTTTTTACTATTGAATTGGATCTAACACAGACACATACATACCCACACAGGTGTGTATTAAACCAATGATAAAAAACGTAACTATCGAGTTTTTTACTATTGGATTGGATCTAACAAAGACACATACATACCCACACAGGTGCGTATTAAACCAAAGATAAAAAACGTGACTATCAAGTTTTCTACTATTGAATTGAATCTAACACAGACTCATACATATCCACGCGGGTGTGTATTAAACCAAGGATAAAAAACGTGACTATCGAGTTTTTTTGCTATTGGATTGGATCTAACACACACATACATACCCACACAGATGTGTATCAAACCAACGACAAAAAACGTGACTATCGAGTGTTTTTGCTATTGGATTGGATCTAACACAAACACATATATACCCAGGGGTGTGTGTTAGTATGTTAAAACAACAGTAAAAAAGATAAATAGATAATGACAATCCAACCCCAACTTAAAGCTTGTCAGTAGGTAATAAAAATGTTCAAAACTGAGGCATAAAATCCTCTTTAATTTTCCGGATGTTCAGGTGGTCATAACTTTATGAATACAACAAAACAAATCATGAAAGGGAAACACTTGTACAACAATTCATGTTATACCCAAATGGCTCGTAACTTTAGCCGGATGATACTTGTACAACAATATGTTCTCTGAGCCTTTTTATTTTTCTTGTATTGATATGAATGAAAATCAAGCAGCCACCTTCTTGGCGGTCACAGAGTTGATAATGGTGGAAAATTCGGGGCCCTAAAGGAAAAAGAAAAAGAAAATCATCGTATAAGAAGAGCTTGAAACAATGTGTGGAAAAATGAAGGGAAATTTAATTAAAAAAAAAAAGTGAAAACAAAAAGAAAAACAAAAATGATACAAACGCTCTAGCAAGCAAGGAAAGTCTTCGACTTTTTAGTTCTATTTTGCCAATTTTTTCAGGTCCTAAATAGCTTCTTTAGTTCTTATAGGGAGTAATCTTAGTTTCTTCAAGTATTTTATATTTTTTTGGGGGTATTTTTAGAATTTTATTTTTATTTTTATTTTTTATATTTTTTTAAATCTTGACATTTAGTTTTATGGGTTAGGTCCGACCCCAAACCATATTGGCCTACAAAATAATTATTGCCACACAAAGCTCATCACCTACAGAAATCAAGATTATACCTTAAGAGATGCACCACCCACAAGAAAGCCATCAATATCTTCTTGTTTGGCAAGCTCTGCACAGTTCCCGCCATTGACTGAACCTGTGGCAAACAAAAAATTAAAGGGAACAAAAAAGAATTACTTCAACTAGCTGATAGTTAATAAGTTAGCCGATAGCTTATAAGTGAATTTCGAGCTTGTAGCTGATAACTTATGACTGAAAAGCTTGATATGATAAAAGAGTTTGGTAATGTTTGGTAATACTGACTGATAAGCTAACAAGATGACATAAAAATTTCAACGAGCTTGAAAAGCTACGAAAGAAGTTTATGAGATAAGCAAGAGCTTTTTATAAAAGTTCGTCCTACCAAAACCAAACTTATTTGTACAAAACTAACCAAATAAGCTATAAGCTAGTTTTGGTGCTTACCAAACACTCTTAATTTCAATACTCGTTGAGTTATGAGCTGAAAAATGGCTGTTGAGAGAGTAAGCATACCTCCGTAGATAATACGTGTTTTAGAAGCAACTTCTGCTGACACGTTCTTACTCAACCAATCACGAACAGCCACATGTACTTCCTGCGCTTGCTCTGGCGTGGCCACTTTACCTGTTCCTATAGCCCATACAGGCTCATAGGCAACAACAATGTTGTCCCAACTTGGGACAGCATCTGCATAAGTACAAACCGATTATTATTTATTTATGAGAGAGAGAGAGAGAGAGAGAGAGAGAGAGAGAGAGAGAGAGAGAGAGAGAGAGAGAGAGATGCACGTGCCGGCATAAGCCTTCATCTGTTGGAAACAAACATCAAAAGTTTTTCCAGCTTCTCTTTCTTCCAGCAACTCACCAATGCAAGCTATTACTCCAAGACCTTCACTCAAGGCATATGCAGCCTTCTTACCTATGAACTAGAAAAGGTAGGGCTTGATAAAAGTTGAGCATTGGAAAGAATAAGATGAGCAAGTTGCTAAAATGAAATCTTGAATTGTCTCGTTTTTTTTTTTTAAAAAAAAATAATCTAAGCAGATGTCGAAAGAATGTTTCAGTTTCCCTCACTTGGTCATCTTCCCCGATTATGTGTCTCCTCTCAGAATGTCCCAAAACAACCCACTTGCAACCAAGATCCTTCAGTTGTTCCACACTGCAATTTTAAAAAGGCTTTACTGGCAAATTCCATGATAAAGAAAATGCAGGAGATTGGACAAAAGAAGCAAAATAAATATAGCATGACATTCAACGAAATCAAAATATACAATAGTTCCACAACAATAAACCATGTCTCATACAAGAAACTTGAATTGGAAAATAATAATAAAAAAAAGGTTTATTTTTGTGAATAAGATGGTCTACCTTAGGTCTAAAATTTGACTTTCTACTTGACAAGGTTCACTTAATTTTTTGCCACGTCACAACCAAATGATGAGCAAGACAATTGCATAAGAGAAGCTTTAGAGATTCTCATAAAGTAATTGTAATATATCAATGTATGAACTAGAGAATAATAAACCCACGTCAAACTGATTGAATCAGCCGTTAAGGCCACTAGGGAAAACATACCATACAGTCAATGAGTAGCTTATCCATCAAAGGCTGATCGCGAAGAAAAACACAGTCATTCGCTAAATCACAAAGAAGAAACTCTAAATCACCATAACCAAACATATGCCAATATTACACACCTAATTTCCCCTGTAAAAGCACCACCTTTCCCAGTCCAACAATTTTGGGCAGCTATCTCTATCCGATCAGATAACGAGTTCTTCACTTGATCGATGTAAACAAATGGAGGCGCTAC